ACCCAAAAGGTTTCCGGTGCTCCGGGGGCGCACCCAAGGGTTCCGGGGCATCCGGGGGCGTCACCAAAAGGTTCCGGGGCATCCCCGGGGGTCACCAAAGGTCCCCGGGCATCCCGGGTGCACCAAGAGGTCCCCCCTCCCGGGGCTCACCAAGAGGTTCCCCTGCTCCCGGGTCGTCCCAAGGGTTCCGGGGCATCCCCGGGGCGTCCAAGTTCCGGTGCATCCCGGGTCGTCCCAAAAGGTTCCCGGTGCTCCCCGGGGCGTCACCAAAAAGGTTCCCCGGGGCATCCCGGGTCGTACCCGAGGTCCGGTCATCCCCGGGGCTCACCAAAAGCTCCCCCTGATCCCCGGGGCGCCCAAGAGGTTCCCCGGGGCATCCCGGGGGCGTCACCCAAAGGGCCCGGGGCATCCCCGGGTCGTCACCAAGAGTCCCCTGCACCCGGGGCGTCCACCAAGAGGTCCCCGGGATCCCCGGGGGGTCACCAAAAGGTTTCCCGGGATCCCCGGGCGTCACCAAAGCTCCCCGGGGCACCCGGGGAGTCACCAAGAGGTTCCCCTGCATCCCGGGCGTCACCAAGAGGTCCCGGTGCATCCCCGGGCTCCCAAAAGGTCCCGGTGCTCCGGGGTCGTCACCAGAGGGGTTCCCGGGATCCCGGGGCGTCACCCCGAGTCCCCGGGGCATCCGGGGGGCGTCACCAAGAGGTCCCCGGGGATCCGGGGTCGTCACCAAAGGGCCCGGGCATCCCGGTCGCACCAAGAGGGCCCGGTGCTCCGGGTCGTACCCAAATTCCCGGGGCTCCCCGGGTCTCACCAAGAGGCCCGGTGCATCCCGGGGGCGTCCCCAAAAGGTCCCGGGGCATCCGGGGTCGCACCAAGAGGTTCCGGTGCATCCCGGTCTCACCAAACTCCGGTGCATCCCGGTCGTCACCAGTCCCCACTTCGCAATCGTCTCAAGTTCTCTCTTTTAAATTATGGCAACTTGTTATTTTTTCAAAACTTTTTTTATAATTAAAATACCTGAAAAACGGAATTTTTTTTAAAAAGGGTTTTGAAAGGGGTTAAAAAAAAAATTGCTGAATTGGAATTGTTTTACCCGGGAGATGAGGCTGTTTAAACCCCGGGGGGTGGGGCTGTATACCCGGGCATGGAACTGTGTACCTGGGGGATGGAACTGGTACCTGGGGGAAAAGAACATATACCTGGGAAATAAAAGTATATTTGAAGAGAGACGTTTACATGGGAGTGGAAGTAACCGGGAGGTAGAACTGTAACCTGGGGAGGTAGAACTGTTATTGGGGGCGGAACTGTGTACCCGGGGGAGAATTTTTGGACCCCGGGGGGTGAAACTATGTACCCAGGAGATGAAACTGTGTCCTGGGGTGGAAAGGTAAAACCCGGAGATGGAATGTGTACCTGGGGGAGGAGCTGTGTACCTGGGGGAGGTGGAAAATGTGTACCCCGGAGGAAACTGTATACCTGGGAGATGGGAAAGTTATCTGGGAGATGGGACTGTTTACCTGGGGGTGGAATTTTATACCTGGGGGGTGGGAAAGCATACCTGGGAGATGGACCTGTGCACCTGGGGGGGCGAACTGTATACCTGGGAGCTGAACCTTTTCCCGGAGATGAGTTTTTGCCCTGGGAGGGGAACGGTACCCGGGAGGTGAAACTGACCTGGGAGGTGGAACTGTTTGGGGATGAAAACTTGTACCTGGGGTGTAGAAGTATACGGGAGCTGGGAAATGTTACTGGGGGGATGAGATTGGCACCTGGGGGGTGAAACTGGTACCTGGGGGGTGAAAATGTGTACCTGGGAGGGGGAACTGTGTACCCGAGAGATGGAACTTGTGTACCTGGGAGATGAACTGTGTACCTGGGAGGTGGAACTGTGTACCTGGGCGGTGGAACTGTATACCTCTGAGGTGGAAACTGTATACCTGGGAGATGGGAACTGTGTACCTGGGAGGTAGAACTGTATACCTGGGTATGAAACTGTGTACCTGGGAGATGGAACTGTGTACCTGGGGATGGAACTGTGTACCTCGCAGGTGGAACTGTGTACCTGAGAGATGGAACTGTGTACCTGGAAGATGGAACTGTGTACCTGGGAGGTGGAACTGTGTACCTGGGAGATGGAACTTTGCACCTGGGAGATGAGACTGTGTACCTGGGAGGTGGAACTGTACCTGGGAGATGAGACTGTGTACCTGGGAGGTGGAATTATGTACCTGGGAGATGGAACTGTGTACCTGGGAGATGAGACTGTTTACCTGGGAGGTGGAACTGTATACCTGGGAGGTGGAACTCTGTACCGGAGAGATAGAACTGTGTACCTGGGAAGTGGAACTCTGTACCTGGAGATGGAACTGTGTACCTGGGAGATGAAACTGTATACCTGGGAGATGAAACTGTTACCTGGGAGGTGGAACTGTTTACCTGGGAGATGGAACTGTGTACCTGGGAGGTAAAACTGTATACCTGGGAGGTGGAACTCTGTACCTGAGAATGGAACTGTATACCTGGGAGATGAAACTGTTTACCTGGGAGGTGGAACTGTATACCTGGAGGTGGAACTGTGTACCTGGGAGGTAGAATTTGTATTCTTGGGAGATGGAACTGTATATCTGGGAGGTAGAAATGTATACCTGGGAGATGGAACTGTGTACCTGGGAGATGGAACTGTATAACCTGGGAGATGAAACTGTTTACCTGGGAGGTGGAATGTATACCTGGGAGGTGGAACTGTGTACCTGGGAGGTAGAACTGTTTGCCTGGGAGGTGGAACTGTGTACCTGGGAGGTAAAACTGTATACCTGGGGGATGAAACTGTGTACCTAAGAGATGGAACTGTGTACCTGGGAGATGAGCCGTGTACCTCGCAGGTGGAACTGTGTACCTGGGAGATGAAACTGTGTACCTGGGAGATGGAACTGTGTACCTGAGAGGTGGAACTGTGCACCTGGGAGATGGAACTTTGCACCTGGGAGATGAGACTGTGTACCTGGGAGGTGGAACTGTGTGCCTGGGAGATGGAACTGTGTACCTGGGAGATGAGACTGTGTACCTGGGAGGTGGAACTATGTACCTGGGAGATGGAACTGTGTACCTGGGAGATGAGACTGTTTACCTGGGTGGTGGAACTCTGTACCTGAGAGATGGAACTGTGTACCTGGGAGGTAGAACTGTATACTTGGGAGATGGAACTGTATATCTGGGAGTTAGAAATGTATACCTGGAGATGGAACTGTGTACCTGGGAGATGGAACTGTATACCTGGGAGATGAGACTGTTTACCTGGTGAGGTGGGACTGTGTACCTGGGAGTGGAACTGTGTACCTGGGAGATGGAACTTTGCACCTGGGAGATGAGACTGGTGTACCTGGGAGGTGGAACTGTGTATCTGAGAGATCGAACTGTGTACCTGGGAGATGGAACTGTGTACCTGGAGGTGGAACTGTGTACCTGGGAGATGGAACTTTGCACCTGGAGATGAGACTGTGTACCTGGGAGGTGGAACTGTGTACCTGGGAGATGGAACTGTGTACCTGGGAGGTGAGGCTGTGTACCTGGGAGTGGAACTGTGTACCTGGGAGATGGAACTGTGTACCTGGAGATGAGACTGTTTACCTGGGAGGTGGAACTGTATACCTGGGAGGTGGAACTCTGTACCTGAGAGATGGAACTGTGTACCTGGGAGGTGGAACTGTGTACCTGGGAGATGGAACTGTGTACCTGGGAGATTAGACTGTTTACCTGGAGGTGGAACTGTATACCTGGGAGGTGGAACTCTGTACCTGAGAGATGGAACTGTGTACCTCGGAGATGAAAATGTGTACCTGGGAGGTGGAACTGTGTAATCTGGGAGATGGAACTTTGTGCCTGGGAGATGAAACTGTGTACCTGGGAGATGGAACTGTGTACCTCGGTTATGAGACTGTGTACCTGGGAGGTGGAACTGTGTACCTGGGAGATGGAACTGTGTACCTGCGAGACGGAACTGTGTACCTGGAGGTGGAAATGTGTGCCTGGAGATGAGACTGTTACACTGAGAGGTTGAACTGTATACCTGGGAGGTGGAACTGTATACCTGGAAGATGGGATTGTATACCTGGGAGGCGGGACTTGCAGAAAGAGCACCACAGGTTTCACCGCTGCTTGAACATCGTCATCATCTTCTCCAGTGAACAACAAGCTTCCTAATGGATGTACTCAGTTAGAATGTATAGATGAAAACAAACATAATAGAATCACTAAACATTAGGAAAATAGATTAGAAAAGTGCAAAACAATAAACAGCAATTTGCATTTTACATTAATCTACGATGGCACACTAACAATAGAACGGAATTTTGAAAACATCTCTACTGTGAAGAACACACGAGGTATTACAAGAGTATACAGTGGTAAACGAGGTGCTCACTGATGTTGCGTCCTCTAACGAAGGCCTCGTGGAGTTCCTGAGGGCGTCACGGGTACTGAAGATTGAGTCCTGATGCCGCCAGGTGTCCAGCCTCCTGTTAGGGTTGTAGTGTCCCTCGTTACGGTGTCGCACCTTATCTGTATCTTCCCTCGTCTCTCTTTCTCTTGTTTTCTCTTGTGTGGAGACGAGTAGACCACTACTAGACTGTGCGTGGCATGGACCGTCGGTGGATTCGTCTGCAGTCAACTGAGGCATTTTCTTGTTACAAGATGCTGGGAGCTGAGAATCATGAGAGGAAAATATTGCCTGCTGAGATGTTGTGTTCAGATCAAATGTTGCAGCTTCAGAGTCGTGCGAAGAACTAGTTGAACTGTTCGTGTTGTGGGGTTTGACCAGAAAACTGCACTCCCTCTAAGCTGTGACTTGTGCTGTGGGTATAATTAGTAGACTTCACTACTTCGAAACTCTCAGTTGTTAAAGAGAGTCTGGCAGGAAGCTTGGCTGAGGCTGGAACATGAAGAATTGTCTTGAATCCTCAAGTTTTGGCTTTGGTTTAAACACTTCACAGTCGACAGTTTGACTAAAAGCCGGACCTTTCACTGATGGGGTTATATTTCAGAAGTTCTTGAAGTTCGTTCCTGTCAAACACAGGGGAAACAGAATTCACACTCTCCTCTTCAAAAATGCTTTCATGACTGTCTTCATCAGTCAGGCTTGACTCTTCCTCAACCAAACTGGTTTCTTCTGGAGTTTCTATGATAAGCTCATCTGCACTCTCTTCCTCTTCGGACGTGTTACTGGAGCTCTCCAGCTCCTCTTGCCAGTCACCGGCCTCCATGATCCTTCTAGCATCCTCCACCCACCTCTCGCCGAACACAGGAACTCTCACAGGATCTGCTTCATTATTATTATCAATACCATTCATGTTCCTCAACATGCCATTGTTTACTATTTCTTCCACGTCATCGTCAGCCTCTGGCTCGCTGTTGTCTGGTGTTCCTGTGAGAATCTCTCCATTTCTAGGTTGTGACGCTCATATAGATCCTGCAAATTGTTTATTTCGAATTCCATCCATATTTTCCAGAATCTCCTCAATGTCTGATTCGTTCTGAGGATGTGAGTTGTGGTCAGAGACGAGCTGGCGCAGGTAGGACTGCCCTTCGGAATTGGAATCCACCTCGTACTGTGCTGGATAGTTTTCAACTTCGTCAGTGTCCCAAATAACGCCAAGTAGCTCCTCGCTGTCAATTCTTGGAATAGTAATTGATCTGCTCATCATTCGACGCTGAAGTGCAGTTCTTAAGAAAATTGTGACAGCTTTTAATAATAGTTGGTCGTGTTCTCTTGTATGAGGGCAGTCTGAGGAACAGTTAGTGCAGTTTTCTCCACCTGAATCCTCAGACTTCGATATCTGAGAAGAGTTCTCGTGATGGAAGTCATATTGCATATCTCGTGTGTTGGAAATTTTTGGTAGTCCAGAATCGCTCAGTGATGTAGGTTTTCCTAAGTCTTCAAAATCAATCAATTCTTTTAAGGCATCTGTAGCTCCCATGGGATCATGTGTCCGGTCAATATTCTCTAGGTCTTTGACATCTCGAATTAGCCTGTGATACGACATCCTGAGTGGAATGTTTGTTTTCCTTAATTTGAAGGTGCACAGGACTACCAGCTTCATCGAGGTCTGAGGAATTTTCTGTTAAGCCGTCCAGTTTTTCCGAGTCCTCTGATCCATCAGACAAGTTCTCGAGAAGTTTACTGAAGGCTTCGTCTTTTATGACAACCTCTTCACTGCTTTCGTTCTTCTGTCTCTGGTAGATACTTGTATCACTCCCACTAACATCGTTCTCTATGTGGCCTGAGTGATCCTCTTCATCCGTCACTTGATCCACAGCATCTTTCCTCATCTTTCGGACTCTACTCTGGGCCCACGCTTTAGCTGCAGGAGTAAGAGCATAGAGTTTTTCTGTGCCGTTGTCCTCAACGTAGATACCCATATCAGAGTGTGAGGTGGCTGCATCCCTTCCTTTGGCTGCTCTCTCAGCCAGCACACGTTCGCGAAGTCTCAATACATCTGCAACAGGAGTGAGTTATACCGTGTGTATGATGTCCTCTGAGATACTAAAGTAACCAAAAACGATGCAAAATTAGGATTGGATTAATTTTATTACTAAGGAGAAATAATATCCAATTTTAAGAACATTGAGATAATGGTTAGCAAGAAAAATTTTGTGATTATTTCAGGTATGGTGATAATTTCAGGTATTTTAAAGAGACTGGGGATCTTAGATAAGACAGAGAGAGGGGGGGAGAGAGCAGTATTCATTTTTTCCCCACTCACCGTTTACGCAGTCACGTTGGCGCTGGAAGTCGCGTTCTGCCCACTCCCTCCTGGTCTTCCTCTCCTCTTCCACACCACCCACATTCCTGAGGGCGGGAGACAGCTGTCTTACCTCACAACGTAGCTGTTTTACGTCACGATACTCATATTATCTCACAACACAATTGTATTACCTCACGTCATATAACTTCACAATACAGTAAAATTACCTCACAACACAGTCACATTACCTCACAACACAGTTGTATTTCCTCATAACACAGTCATATTTCCTCACAACACAGTCATATTACCTCAAAACACAGATGTATTACCTCAAAACACAGATGTATTACCTCACAAAGTCACTGTGTGACTTTGTAAATGGTCTAAGTCGGACCGAAACGTTGTCGTAAGCTCCTCTCTCCTAAGTGCGGGTAATTTGTATATTGTTTCAGTGTATTATTCATGTCAACGCAAGGTAGTATTCTGGGTCCCTTATTATTCCTATGCTATGTTAACGACATACCTATCAATGTCAAGTGCAAACTCCTACTGTATGTAGATGACAGTGCTCTGTTAGTGTCAGATAAAGACCCACAAGATATAGCTAATGTATTAATTAACACTGGAACTGGAGTCTTGCAGCAAATGGTTAGTAGACAACAAATTATCATTACACCTCGGGAAAACTGAAGCCATTCTCTTTGGCACGAAACATAAACTGAGAAGGGTAAATAATTTTATTGTCCACTGTAATGGGGAGCCCATCACTTCAGTTTCCTCAGTAAGATATCTGGGAATCCCCTTTGACCCATGCATGTTAGGAGAATTGATAGGGACCAGTGCAGTATGTCAGTGGGAACGCCTTCCAACTGAACAAAGAAACTAATGGAAAAATAAATAAATAAGAAATAACTTAGGAAAAATGAGAATAATGATTTTTGAGAATTTTACTTAAAATTTAAATATAATAAAAAAAATGGCCTTCAGTTCTTGTAGTTGGGCAGGAGTAGGTATGGCCCTGGATAGTTCCTATGATGTTATTTATGTAGGTTATCCTGGGCAGATGGTAATAATCCGATGTTCTGGAATCTCCTACCACTTGGATGGAGCACCACAGTAGAATAGGTAAGGGCCGGTAATAGTAGAATAATGTTAAATAAGTATATTAACTATCTTGCTCCTTTATCTGGCGTCTATCCTGGAAGGCCACGCCAGGAACAGAGCTGGTAAATAAGAGAAAATAAACTGTTACCATAGTTATGATAATATAACATTTAAGAATTGAAAAGAATGATAAATGCCAAAATCATTACTGGTAACCAGCAAACAAAATAAAGAAAACAAACAGTGATACTCCTGGTATATCACCCTACCTGATTAGGAGAAGAGTGGGGGGGTGACTCT